ACCGCCCAAACCGAGACCAAGTCAAGACCAAGACCAGAGTTCATCGCAACCGAGACAAGGTACGAGACTTTTAGGGGCTGAGAGCAGTCAAGACCAAGACCGAGGGAGGGCAAGACCGAGTCAAGACCAAGACCAGTTCCCTGCATTGCATGGCACGCAATAAAATGTGGAATGAGATCATAGGTACTTCTCAAAGTGATCTGAAAGATCCACTTTCCCATTAAAACACCCGCATACAAACACTAAGAGCTGAAATCAACGTAAGCATTGCGAGGAGGGGTGACAGCTGTCGTTAACGGGAACAACACATGTTTAATTAGGGTTATTGGTTGCTTTTGAAGCAATAAGTTTTACTTCCAATCAAAGTTAGGATTTTAACAAATCAGACAATGTAAAAGCAATTTCTTCATATCCCCAAAGTTATGGTCTTGACTGGTCTTGAAATAAAATTCCGATTCCTCAATGTCCGAGACCGAGAAAAGACCGAGTACAAAGGCGGCCGAGTCCGAGACGAGACCAAGACCATCAAGAAGTGGTCTTAAGACCGGTCTTAAGACCACTTATTATGCAATGGCCTCACTTCATCTTATTTAGAGTAACTTGCTTTAATAAGGGTTCACTTGGGTCCTGCTGCTGGCACTTTCATGTAAGCGCAAAGAAGGCCGAGTAAGTTTGTCAGTGGGCATTGGGGGGTCCTTACTGCTGCTCCCTGCCTCGAGCCTTCAATGTATGCACCTGGATGGGCAGGGACATCCCAGAACAGAGCCATACCGCCAAACATAACTACAATGCCGAAAAGTTGTCCTGACTGAAATCTTTTATTGAGTCAATTTTGACTTTAACTTGAACAATCTGTTAGTTGAGCAATCTCAGTATTGTTAACAAAAATAGGCTGTGAAAGATTGTTAAACTTTGCCAAAAGACTACTGGGACTAACTTGAATGATCTTGACCATGCCATCCAAGTGAGAGCCACTCAAAAGGCAAAGGTCTTTTTGGTGGATCCTTGACACCCTCTCCTTGCAAAACTTTGACTTCTGCCATCAAGGAGGAAGTGCACTTTCACTACGAGGGCCAAATCAAACAGATATTTGAGATAATTTGTCCTGTCAGCTGTTGGGTTTTTAAAACACCTGTAGACCTCAGTGCTGTTGCACACCTTCACTAATACAGGACTGATGGACACACTGTGCTCTACATCTTATGGTAACTTTACTATTTGTTGATAACATCTGTAATATGTTATATGTACTCGTGTCTTCTATTTATTTACTTGTTTTATGATGTGTATTGACTACTTGCAAACCTCTGGGACAAATCAAATTAAATATTTCTACCTGGATACAGAAAGGATATCTGATATGGAGCGCATATCAGCAGACTTTAGGGCAGCGGTTTTCAAAGTCTGAGACTGCGGGCCTCCCCTCAGACAAAGCTTGGGAAACGCCGACCCACACCACGTCTTTAGTTTACTTGGTAAGTTTTGCTCAATTCCTGGATCATGATTACATTGTTTGATCCCATAGACACTCAACATTTGAGCCAAAATAGCCTAATATTGCTGTTTGACATAACTTCAGACTACACCAAATAGTTTTAAAAAAGGTCTGTCCTAAACATAGACTGTATATAAAAAAAGTCCTAATGTATTTATTAGTTTCTGACTCTGATGGAAAAAACAGTTTCCAAAACCTACTGCATCTCTGAACTCTCACACATGTAGGCTATTCTGTGATCTCCTTTTGATAACTAATGCAATATTGTTTCACTTCTATTCACTGAGCCTCCACTGAAACTGTTTGGAGCCCCCCCAGTGAGGCCCGCCTCACACTTTGAAAACCCCTGCTTCAGAGGATGAGCATATGAACGTCTTGTAAAACAGCGAGTATTAAATAATCTAATAATGCAAGCATTTCGAGTGGAGTAGTGAAGTAATTGGGCTACAATTGCAAGCATGCAAAAATCACAAAGTTGGCCTAAGCAAATAGGCTGACAAAGGATAAAAGCAGCCTATGTTTACAGATTGGTATGTATCTCCTTGAAAGAAATAATTAATGCATATATGGCTCTACGTGCTACATAGGCTACATAAAAAGTTGAAGAACTCAAAAGGTGATGACATTTTAAGAATAATTATTACATATTATAATAATTACCCTATTATTATTGTTATTGTTATTATTATTATAATATTGTAGGTATTTTTTGTTGCAATTTTTCTATCATATAGGCCTATTCATATTGAAAATAAAGATCGAGCAAGCATTTGCCCTTTTTCTCCATGGGAGGTTTCTGTCCTCCCTAAGCTCATCCTAGCACACCTGTGTTACCCATTACCAAAATATTTCCTTATAGAAATATTAAAAAATCGTGTTGATCATCATTCATATATACAGGAGTGTTACGGCCGCCGCTGGCTGCCTTAGAGTAGTTGTGTTCTGGAGTTCTCTGAACAGTATGCAAATCCCCGCTGCAAGCACCTGTTGAGGATTGGTTCCTCTGGACCTGGACCCACCCACTTCTTGGTTGCTGTTTGCTGGCATCTGATTGGTGTGGTCGAAGATCCAACCAACCCTGCCAACCAGGACTCCCCAATACAGCTGGCCTACAAATAGTTTGTGTTTCTGCAGTTCGAGACTGTGAGCCAGTGATCAGTTCGTCTTGTTGTTGGTTATGTATCCTTGTGAATAGTGAATTTCTTGAGTGTTGAATTTACCTGTCTCTGTCGGTTGCCTATTTAAGCGACTGCCGTCAGTCAGCAGTCAGCCTTGTAAACCACATGGTGTGAGTGGCACTCTTTAGGGTTGAACATTGTCTGTTTGGGTTACTTTACATTCTTGTAAAGCATGTAGGTACTGACCTCCTTTTGTTCAGTGTTTTTTTTTTTTTTTTTGAGTAGAGAGCTGTCTTTGGGCAATACCTCCTTTTTGTTTCCTTTTTTTTGTCAGTACCTACATAGCCTCCTTTCGTTGTGTTTTTTCTGAGATCATTTAATTAAACAATTGACTTAAACCTAAATTCCGTTGTCCTTACCACCTTCATTCTATCCCAAATACCTTGTTACTGCCCTACCCTAACGAGCTGGGTTGTAACAAGGAGCATTTCAAATTTGAAAGATAAAAAATTCAAATATTTTGAACTGCACTTCTGGGCATTCAGCAAACTTTGCCATCAGGTTTCAAATCCAAATAAATTTCTTCATCGTACAAATTCTTCATAGTTACAGAGAGTGTGTTTTCTCCCAAATCAGACAAATTGTTGTGCTGAAAAAGTATATCCTTTTCAAAAGTGTACAGGTGCAGGTTAAAAAAATTACATTTTATTTAAAATAGGAATTTATTAAACCTGCTTGCAATATTGCTATTGCAATAACTGTTACAAAAACAAAATGAAGAAAAAGGAAACATGGTTTGTTGGGAAACAGGCTGAGGCAATATATTGTATACTTTCCAATGAAGTGTTTCAAGATCACAGTACAATAGAACTATGGTATGTTTTTTGTAATTTTGGCTCCACTCCAGCACACTGGATGTACTGTGAGTGCTTTACCTGTAATGATCTAAATCCATGAATATAACTAGTGGGAAAATAATGACTCCTTTTTTACCCATATTAATATAAAATGAATTTGTATTAATTACCAGTGCCAGTTCTAGACCAGTTTCATTGAGGGTGCCAGGCTGGGGCCAGTAGTTTTGTCAGAGGGGTACATTCAATCCGGGACAAAAGAGACAAAGGCACTGTTCAAGCTCTTAAAATGTCTTGTTTAGTATATAATGTAATGTTTTAGTATATTTCAGTAACTTACACTTATTTGTTTCAGTAACAGGATCTTTCTAGTAACTTAGTTATAGTTTTATTAAATTACATTATATATATATATATATAAAAAAAACATTCCTGTTAATTTTAGCTCAAGTTACAGCACATTCTTTGATGCAACTCTTCTTTGTAAGGCTTAATGAACAGTTTAAGCTCTAGACATTCTCTGGATCCCAGTTTGTATTTTGTATCCCACTATAACATTTGCTAGGAAACAAGAAACACCACCATATTCACCCCTGTTATTAGTCATGATGTGAAATATACACAAAACAAAATACTTGATAGTAGGCCATAATCTGTGCATTATGGAGTGGAATGCATATTTTGGCAGACTGCATGTCCAGGTAGGACCAGTAGGCTACTTTTATCGCTTTTTGTGTATGAAAAGTGCTGTTTAAATGCAATGCATTGTTAAATTGTTATGATAATAATATACCCTTTAAGGAGGGGATTTCCAGCAATATCCAAAGGCTATCCATGCAGTGGAAACCTGGATTACAAGGACAGAATATTGTCTACAATGCTGCATTCAGTTTAATGTACATTTCGTCGCAAGGAAGATAGATTACTATGATTACTGTAAACCAGGGCTATTCAATTACAAATTCAATTGCCATTTTCTCACGAGTTGGGATCATAAGGATTTTATTGACACACTTGTATTGGTAATCCCTTTTGGCTCAGTTCTTTATTAATGCTCTTATCAGTCCTATTTATTACTAAATAACTGAATATCTTACTTAAAAAAAGAATGTACCATTTTTATTAACTAAATGTTGTTTCTAGAGCAGCAACGGGATTTACAACAGCAAAGTCACTAATATCTCGCTGGAAACAAATTACATGTCAGTAAAATAGATCATATTCCTGATATCAACATACTGAGTGAAGTTTAGAAAGAATGAACAGCTCAGTCCCTCCTGTCCTCCTCCCTCTGCTGCCGCCGTGTGTGCGAGTGCACAACAAAGATGAGAAGGAAACCACACAGCTCACTCTTTAGCTACTTTCATACACTATACATGTAGTTTACTTTTGTTGTCATATATATTAGATTATGTGCTGGGCCGGATGTGGCCCGCGGGCCGCCAATTCAATAGGGCTGTTGTAGACTTTTCGTTCAGAGGGGGGTCATAGGGGGTCCAAGATCTGTGTTACAGGGGCACTGTTGGCTCCCCCCCATAATTGCCACAGACCATTACTTCACTTTTTACATTGTAAATCTAAACTGTCCCCAGGCTGTCAAGGACATGGGGTCATCAAAAAAAGAAAGATTTATTCCCCTCAGAAGCTTGAATGTATCTCTTACTAAATAAACACAATGTGCCTTTTACCTCTTGATGTTTGACCTTTCAATATTATTACAGTTATTTTAATGTCATCACAGTTCTATATTAGGTCATTACGATTATGAGTGGATATGTTTCATGATGATTGACAGGTGTTCTTCATGTTAATTACTGTCAAAAGGTAGAAGATTTAAAATACTCCAGCCCACGCTTTACACTGCTCTCCTTCTGGCAGTGAATGCCTGCTCCCAATGTCTTACTTTGCCAGCGGTGCTTAACCCACTGCATCCTTCATGCCCCATTCATGTCTTTAAGATGTACATTCAGCTTCCTCAGAATCAGGAGGCCTGAACTCTTATCAAACACGTCAAGTCTGCAGCAGGTTGGACAATAAATAGTGACGTTACAGCTTCCTGTTTCATGGCGAAACATGTAAGTATTTATTTTTCTGTACAAAGAGAAAACAACATTTCTTTAGACACAGCAGGACTCGGGCAGGTTGAAGCAACACAGTGAGCGTGTATCTTCAGCTGCAGCCATGGCACTCAGGTGGATCATTCTGTTCTTTGGCCTGGGACTGGTAAGTGTAAGCCTTTGCTCTTTGTCAAACACTAACATCCACGTTGGATCTCCAGTGTAAAACAATGCTTTAATGTTGATTCCTAGAATGTCAGTTCATTCTTTAGTAAATTATGTGATCAATGTGCTTTCTAATGTATTTACTAGGCAGCAGCCAAGCTAACAGGTGACACAGGTGAGTCACATATTGAGATTTTTACATGTTATTTACAGTCAAAAAGTAGACAGACACTTCAGTATAACTTGAGTGAGAAAATTTGAAATACCCCACCCACCCTATACACTTGTGATCTTTTGCCAGTGAATGCCTGACTCGCATCTGCTATTGCATTTTGCTATTGGTCCCTCATTTCTTTAACAACCAGTTTTCAGACTCCTGAAAAGTGAAAAATAATTATCAGGATGTTCAGTACAGTATGTATACAGGACAGAACTGTACACCAATTTAGTCTAAGCTTGTGCCTGATGTGTTCAGCCCTTGACTAGTAGTTTAGTTGGGAATGACATACAGCTGATACTTAATATTACTTTGTTACTAATTTAGGAACGTTACATGAATAAATAAATATTTTTGCGCCTTTCACGGGACCCAAGGACGCTTTACACATAGTTACAGAACAACAAAGTCATTCAGGACTGAATGCCTGGGTAAAGAGCTGGGTTTTTAGTAGATGTTTGAAAGTGTCCAGACAGGGAGCATTTCAGATCTCTGTGGGGATGAGCTCCAGAGGGTGGGGGCTGTGACGCTGATGGCTCTGTCCCCAAAAGTGTGGTGTCTGGTGTGGGGGACAGAGAGCAGAGGAGATGTTAGCTAGCGCTAACAGCTTAAATGTTAATTGCATCAATTAACATTTAAATAATAGATTTGTAGATATTTGTTAATCGATTCATAATCTTCCACGTCCGCATCGCGATGCATCTAAGAATCGATTATTTTTCCCACCCCTAGTCCCCACTGCACCCTTCATGAACTGAAGTTGTACATTCAGCTCAGCAGAGACAGTTCTAACTCAGAAGAATCAGCTAACAGTATAATAATAATAAAAAAAATGACCTCCTGTAATGACATTTTGAGCAGCATATTATTGATTCTTCATCTGCAGAAAATGATGTTGATGGAGGCCATGACTGGGACATCCTTAGCATCAATGAAGGTTTGTGTATCATTGAGTTTTATTTTTTGTTTCGCTTTGTTGTCCAACATTTATATGTCTCTGATGATTTTCATCAACCAATGCAATTTTCCTTTGCAGCGGCTGGTCTGGACCTGCTGGAGGGAGACATCGTACAGGAGGAAGTAAGCTACCCAGATAGCAAACATTATAGAAACTATGTTGAATCAGCATTCTGCTCTCAACGCTAATTTAATTGAATCAATCAACAATTTTTGCACCATTTTTTAATATTGAAACAATGTTGAAATCATAGCTAACTAAAAATCTTCTACTTCTAAATAGTATGCACAGACTCCAAAAACCAATCTCTTCTGCTGCTCTTTAGGATTTTGCATATCCAGGCGTGTTGAGTATTACATTATATTTGTGTCTAAATTCTGGGCACGAGATGGGACATTTGTTGCACATGCATAAATTATATGTGTAGTGCTTCTCTACTTTGCTAGTCACCGATGATCCTAATAATGATCAGATTGGAGACAAACTAGCCAATCTGAAATAACCTTAATAATTTATTGTGTGATTATGTGAATAATGGATTTAGTGCAAGGGAACAATTGTCTAAATTAAAATATAAACAAGAAGATGATTACTCTATAATGCCGCAAGGGGAAATTCCATGTTTTTTCACTCTTCACATGTAAATGTTTCAGTATTATGCACACACACATATGATACATGGAGAGATGTCAGAGCGAGGGAGCTGCCACTCAGTGTGGGGCCCCGAGCAGTTGGCGGTTCAGCCGCATGCTGAAGGCCACCTGAGGCAGTGGCGGTGAACTGGCATCTCTCTGGCTACCAGTCCATACTCCACATCTCTGGTCCGAGCTGCCCTCGAACCGGCAATCCTCCAGTTCCCACCCAAATCCTTGTGGTCTGAGCTACTGCTACTTTATTACATACAGCAGAATTGTAATTATGCAATGTGGGTCTATGTCATCCCGCCCAGCAGTCTGGTATGCATTGTGAGGAGCTGAATACCATGTTGTGCCAGACAGTCTGGTACAACATGGTACTCCTCTCCTCTGCTTTAGCTAGAGAATTTTAATTTACTCCCTTGTCTTCTTTATTATTTATTAAATTATGTAATTATTTGTCACATGGCCAAAAAGGGGGGCCGAAATGGGCACAAACGGACACCACAGAGATGTGAGAACAGAGGTGGGGGTGGAGGGAACAACAGGAAAAAGAGCCCTGCATGCCCCTCCGACGGGGCCCGACTTATTTAGGCCCCAAGGGCCAGGCTTCAGGACAATTTTCATGTCATAGTTCACATGCGGGCCAGGCATCAAGCATGTATTAGCCTTCTATTGCACACGTTATCCAACGAAGGTTAAAATTGGATAAAAAAAATTGGTTGTCAACCAAGTCCAGTTGCCCTTAATTTTAACCTTCGTTGGATAACTATGACCTGGATGACTGAGAATCTTCATAGACATATAGCACACATGGTTGCAGGATTATGCTGCAAATGTTTGTGAAGTATAAATGAGCGAATGCAGCATACTGGCGGAAAGTCTTTCTGCGTTTATTATGAAATTGGCTTCAGAGACTTCTGGCTGCAGCGTTAGGAGGCTGTCTCATTGTTCGTTTTGGATTGGATTTTGGGATTGGACATAATCTGCGGTGAAGCCTTGATTTTTGATGCAGTAAGGTAAGGCAACCTGCATGTTTTTTTTTATTGTCAGACTATTTATTTAGATTATATGGCCGGTTTGTTTTTCTGCATGCTGTTGCGATTAGCAGCAGCAGCCTGCCTCAGCCTGTCAAAAATGCCTTTTTACTAGTGATAATAATTTGACTTTAACTGACATTGTGATACACTTTAAGTGTTTTACATCTATGGATTTTATTGTAGGCAGGTTAAGTGTTGATTTAAGAGGATAAATTGGTTGTCACTTTAAAAGACAAAAACTTTAATTTAACAAACAAATAAAAAATGCTCCAAACATTTTTCTAAATGCTTCCCACTGTCCTGGGGTGTGTCAAATGGTGGGAGTCACCTTGTTTCCCTCGAGGTTTCTATGTTTTAAGAAATCTGAATTTAAGAGAAGGCCTAATGTCAAAGTCCTTTCTAAAATGTCTCTGGTAATGTCTAAGAAAGTCTGTTTGGGCGTGTTTTTAATCATATATCTTTCCACAATATCAACAATTTCATAAATGCCATAAGCAGTTATACAATTTTATGTCATAACAAATGAAAAAGGAAAGACACATATCTGCTTTAGTTTTAGAAAATAATGATCCCTATCGAGGGAAAACCCAGATTGATTAAAGGTATGAAGAATGTTTTATTCTTATCCAGATTCCGTTTGTTGCCACTCGAAATGCTCACGTAATTCACTAAATCATACTTTAAAATCGTTAAATTTACCGGCAAACACGGCAGCTTACTATAGCAGAGGAACCAATAGCACGCTTGCATACTGATGAAGCGATGTCATTAACCAATCAGATTTAGCTGCATTGAGCACCGCTGTTCAATCAATCAATCAATCAACATTTCTTTGTATAGCACTGCCCAAAGTGCTTTACATCAGCTGTTGACACAACGAAGAACAGCGTGGAAGCAGCGACGCTCGGCCGTAGACAGTATGCGTGAAAGCTGCGAGGGTAAATATTAATGTTGTTGGAAAATTCTCGTAAAGCAACTTGTTTTAAGACAGAACTGTGTTGTTCAAACTTACTGCGGCCTTAACGTTAAAGGTAGCGTTAGCTATAACGCTGTGCTTGCTAGCTAGCATCATGCACCCAGTGGTTGAATGTGGCCTGTATCTATTTCTCATTAGCTAGTTTTGTTTAACTAATAATGTTAATCGGGTAGTTTTTTTTTTATTATTATTTCGGCGCATTTGTATTTTTATTTATGTTTGCAAGTGATGCTCGTTTCAATGTGTAAAAGAAGTCAGTGGTGTGTGACCGTAACGTTACAGCTCGTGTGTTTGCTGGGGTTTCTCACCATCTTGTGTCTGTTTTTACCTTCAGCACTAAATACCAACTTCAAACCTACTTGAAATAAAACCTTCCCGAGTAAAAAGACAACACACCTGTCTGTAAGGTAAACATGTAGAAAGGGTTCATTCAATCATCTCTGTCCTCAGTCTCCCATCCGGTATGTTTTATACAAGCACAGCAAACGTTAGCTTGGCGTTAGCCAAATGTTAAAAACAAGCTAAATAGAAAGCTGACTGTCTGGAGCACAGACTGGTCTGTAATTTTAAACTCTGGCTGAGACAAACCAGCCGCTCCTCCTTCTACCAGGTAACATAAAGGTCATTACCAGCAGAGGAAGATGACTGAGTTTTTCATTCTTTCTAAACATCAATCAGTATTGTGATGTCAGATATTATGTTTTAATAGTGACTTTGCTGCTGTAAACATTAATGTTGCTGCTCTAGAAACAACATTTAGTTACATTGAACATATTCAATTCTAATCCTATAATTAAAAAACAACCAGGCAGCTAATAAGCACACATCAATATTAGTTTGTTTATAGCAAGTCCTGTGTCATCTCAATGTATAACAATGTTATCGCACATTGAATATTTCCTCACACCGTGCAGGCCTACCTCATGCCCGTTGGGTCTCCTCTTACGAGTAACGTATCGATAGTGGTATTATCAATAAAGACTCGGATCGTTAAGCAGCATCAATAAAAATGAACGATCCTCATCCCTGGCTTTCTCTATACTGTATGAGTGATGTGATCTATCAAATAGATCACCAATCAATAGTGAGGGGAACCACTTGTCCAAGTCCATGTGTGATTCACAGCTGTCACCTTACCTTAGCTGCAGTCTCAGGCATGTTTGTCATGTTTGTTTTGTGGCGCAGCAGCGATCCGCGTTTTTTTATTTGTTTTTTTTTGTTTTGTTTTTTTTAACTCACGGAGCCTCCGGCTGCAGCTGCTTCAGGTGTAGTCGGTGTGATCAGCTGGATGTGCAGCCTCTCTTTGCTGTTTGCTTCTTTACACTCTTTAGTGTAGTTTAGTGACTTGTTTAGCAGACTCCTTACTTGTTTTGAGATCTTTCAATTCAGTTTAATAATCAAAAGATAACAAAATTATTCTCGTTTACTTTCAATAAACGTAAGAAAAATGTAACCTAAATTTGTTTTCCACAGCTCATGTGGTCACTAAACTGTTTCACTCCTCCTCTCTCATTTAAATACAAAAAAGGAGGATGACCGAAGTAGGATGAGAAGTGATCTGATACAATTTCCCAATGTGTTTAGAAAACAGTTATTTGAAAAAAAGAAATGGATCTCCTTGCTTGTCCATATCAACCATAAAATTATTTTAGGCTACCAATCAACTACTACGGCTTCAACAGTTGGTATTTTATGCAAGGTATCTAATGAAGTATCAGTATCACTTTAGGGTACTGGTGTCGTAAATTTTAAACGATACCCAATGTGCAATTTAAATTCTCTTTCACTGCACAAAGGTGCAAGAGTACAGCTGGTGTTTTATATTGCTAATATCTTGTGTTGTAACGGTTTGTTTACACACAATAAACTTTGTTTCTTAAAATGTAATGTATGAAATATTGGAACTTGCTCCTAATTTCCGTTCTTTGTTTCCTTAACAGATTCAAAGTTGAAGATCCACCTTCACACTCATCCATTGCATGTTTGACACCAACCTTCTTTTAAATCTCTTTTTGAATTAAACTGCCTTCGCTCTTCGTTCCTGGGCTCATTTTGTCTTTGTGATGTTAGTGAAATGGCTCTAGTTGTCTCTGGGGTACCAGTGTGAGCTGATACAGCAGGAGGTTTTTAGGTTTTCTAATTGTATCTTCACACTGCCTCTTCAGCTGCAAGACTTTCTAGTCCCAAGATATTATAACACTTTCCCATGCTGTGTCTGTAAAAGGAATGATGGGTCCAGTTTTCTCTACATGCACACAGACCCCTGTTTCTTTTATACATGTGATGTTAGCAAACCTGGATAAGTACAGGAGCAATCTGGTGGTTGGCATGATTATGTGACGTTGCTCATCATATTAAGATTGACAGGTGAAGTTTTCTAACAATACAATGGAACAGAAATTTGTGATAACTGATATATTATGTAAAAGATCACCAAAAACTTACGAGGGACAATGTTATGTTATAAATTATCATATAAAAAAGTAAGGATGACTCTGTGTCTACCTCTAAAGTACTCACATGTTGGTGTTTTATTAATCAGAATCAGCTAACGTTATACTGCCATGTAGAGTGTATGTGTAAGAGCTTATACATACAAGGAATTTGGTGCATAACAAACAAACCTATATAATGACAAGATATAAAAGTAACAAAGACTGTTTATGTGGCAGTTATTTACACGAAGTGCAAACATTGACAGTTTAAGGTGAATAACAAAGCAGGGTGACAGTTAACTTGTGGTAAATGTATCCTGTGTTTCTGCAGTTTGAAGGGACAAGATGCAAAGAAGCCACACACAAAAGGCTGAGGACCAAATGTTTACATTCCATGATTACAACGTAAATCTATTTTTATTGAAAGTAAAGCGTAAACGCGAGTTTACTTAATACTTAATAATAACTTAAATCAACGTAGTTAACCTGCTGTCTCGGTCCCTTCGGCGCGTTATTTATTTCCGGGTTTTCCATAGTCTGGCACTTTTCCAAGCACGTCATTGGACAATAACTACATGTACGTCACGTAAATTGGACCCCAGACATAACGGTCCGCTCTTATTGCCGGGAAAACTAAGGTGGATAAAGTTACTGATAAACAAAAAAATGGCAGAAGCACGAGTGGCAACAAATTTAGTTTAATTTGTTGAAAACCCTGAAGAAGTCCTCAACAACTGCCGTTGGCCCACCGCCTATTAAAGTCAAACTGTAGACCTGTTAAAGTTGAACAACACAATTCATAGTAGCAGATGAATGAACAGGCTACGTTCCAAGACAGTACTGATTGTTAAACGATTCTTAATAAGAAAATAAATGAAAGTAGTTGAAACATGATATCAGGTTAAACACAGATAGTAATAGGTAAGTGATCACAAAGAGATTAGTCAGGTCCAATGGCAAGGTTATACCTCTTTGGTCCTTTGGGGACCCTGTTGTTCCCTGAAGGGAATTTGGGAATAACTCTGAGTACTTGGACAGATTCAGTTTTTAATTCAGTCCCTGGATTGAAAACCTGGTAGGATGGAGAAATGAAATAGGCTTCAGATTGATTTTGATATAAGGGTAAAACATTTGATGACTAATATACTGTAGATTTAAATGATATACAAAACATGTATGGTGTAATAGTTTACCAAAATACAAAATATTGTTTGGAAATTATGTTTACATTTTTCTTGCTGTCCCAAATTACCAAACGTGTTGTGGTAATTTGGGACAGCATGTTTCAGATATATTGGGACAGTGTTAAAAGGCTATAATAAATGAAATTTATCACTAGTGTGGATTCATAAAACCAGATATACAGAGGGACCACACATGTATGTCAACACAGAACCACCGAGATGTAACCTACAGGCAACTTTTAAGTAGATAGAGTAAGATTACTAATGATGCTAATCCCCCACATTGTCTGTAGAAAGCCCTATCATTTGGTCAAATTAGCCTTTTCCAACAATCTTCTGACAATAAAGCAAATGTTTACTATGTTTAATGTAGCAGTTCTGTAACATATAATTAAGTCTAATCAAGAAGCATCGCTGATGCATGCAGACGTTTTGCTACTCACTTTGTTTAACCTGTTGCTTTATTCTTATGATGAATTGAAGGTCTGCTGCAGAATAGAATGGCAGATAACACAGAAATAAATAAAATAAACATGTCTGACAACATGTTGGAGTCTTTAATGATTTTAACATCTTAATCAATAATCTAGCCTGTTGACATTTGCTGATGTAACGAGATCACAAGACAGAATTACAAAAACTGTCCCAATATACCTGAATTCACCCTACGTGAACGGCCACTAGATGTGCGTTTTCAGTTGTTTAATGTAGACGGAGATCAACTCTGATACACAGTTAAAACGCTGGTGTGGACTGGGAGCATATTCGTTTTAAAACTCAGCTTTTATACAAAAACAGAGTAGTGTGGATGGGGCCTTAGTTTACGGCCTCTGTCCACCCAGAGGTCCTAACAGCCCTAGTTCAAGGAGAGACTACATATCTGGACAAGGTTAAATTATCATTTTAACAGTCATGAGTATTATCTTAACTTCACAGGAGGTGGTGGCTCGTCTGGTTGACTGCATTGTGACCAGCAAAAAGTAACGAAGTACAAATACTTTGTTACTGTACATACATAGTTTTTTTTTCCAGATTTGTACTGTACTTGAGTAGGCTACTTCAGGTTGTTGCAGCTTTTACTTTTACTTCACTAGATTTTTAAGCAAAATAACGACTTTTTACATAAGAGGATGAAGAAGGACTATCCTTCTGGGCACATGAAGAGAAATTCAATGACAGGTAATTCCCCTGAACCTGTACTCAATTTTATACCTGTTATTTCCTTTATTCCCATCAGACATTCATCAGAAACTCAATCATAGGAGATGAGTATCGCTGGCCAACAACCGTTCCTTACTACCTGGAGGACTGTCTGGGTAAGACACGGTGTTTTGGAAACTCACAGTAGTTACCAAATTAGGTTGCTTTATCAATATTTATGTTCTTACACTTTGTAATGTGTAGAGATGAATGCAAAGGGAGTAATCCTGAAGGCATTTGACCAGTACAGACTGAAGACCTGCATTGACTTCACACCATGGAAAGGAGAGGGGAACTACATCTCTGTGTACAAAGGGAAAGGGTGAGCAGATCTTCAAACTGCTGTGTTCAGTTCATGTAAACTGTAACAGGACAAATGTGTTGCGGAAACCAGGGACTGGGAACACAAGCGCAGGACACGTACAGGTGTTGCGGGAATGGTGGACTTTATTGTCAGTTTCACACGGGAGTTGGGGAAAGTGGCGGTGACGAGGATAAACAGCGGATGCTGAGGGTTGGTGAGGCGGAGACCGGGAGGCAGACAGGAGACAGGAGAGGCGGTTGCGTGGCTGGCGATGAGGTCCTGGGGCAAAGAAAACAAAGTTAGCTTCAAAGACACGGAAAGGCAGAAATACGAAGTTCTAGAATGAGATTAATCTTGAGCCGGAGTAGCTACCGCTACGGGTGGACAACAATCTGGCGACAAATGACTGGAGAACCGGAGAAGATGTACTGCAGGTCAGTACTGCATCCTGCAATGAGAAAGAGGTCGCTTGTAATGACACGGTATCAATAGATGCAGCTCCCCTCAGCTCTACAAAACCTTTTATCAGTTTTCTGCTCGTCGTTGTGGTTTAAAGTACTGCAGTGTTACTCATTTGGTCTAGTCTCACTGCTTTCATCAACCCTGTTTTCATCCATCCATACTGACTGACCTGTCCAGCACCAAAAGGCAGACACAGTTAGTCTCTTGCATGTGAACATCTTGCTTCCCCTCTCTGTAGATGCTTCTCCTATGTAGGCAACCAGCGTATGGGGAGGCAGCAGCTGTCCATTGGTGAATACTGTGATACTCTAGACACCGTTGAGCATGAGTTCCTGCACGCTCTGGGCTTCTGGCACGAGCAGTCCAGAGCCGACCGTGATGATTACGTCAACATCATGTGGGATCACATTGAACCTGGTAACGCTGATTTGTGACACTTGTAATTACAGCTCATCACTTACATTAGTGTACACTCATGTAATAACTTTATACAATAAATGACAAACTGTACAGAAACTACTCCTGCATTTTTCTCATTATCCATGCCCACCATCTAATTTTGTTTTACACAACAAAACTGACAGTTGCTTGCAATAAATAAAAAACAACAGCTGAATTCTTCCTGACATTCTTCTTCTGCCTTCCTCAGGTCAAGAGCACAACTTCGAAAGCCACGATGACACGGTGTCCAGTGCTCTAGGCGTTCCTTATGACTACAGCTCTATAATGCACTACGGAAAGACGTACTTCAGCATTGATTCTGAGCCCACCATCGTCACCAAGATCCCCCACTTCATGGATGTGATTGGTCAGAGGATGGGGTTCAGTGCTAGTGACATAACCAAGCTCAACCGTCTCTACAACTGCAGTGAGTTCTGCCAGCCTGCCATTTGTCCATCAAAGAGTCAATGAGACAGGTTACCTTCATTACCATAGATGTTTGACATATTGTGAGGTACAAAAGGAAGCCTCTGGCAACACCTGCCATAATACTGTACAGTATACTGGAACTATAATAAAATACAGTTTAGACAGATGTTGTCTCAGTACATCACCCAACAGTTTATTACTGTCAGCTAACAGCAGTTCTGTTTAACTTTATTTAACAAGATTAGAAAACCACACAGAACTTACATAATGTTGTTTCTCAGTTAAGAAAAACAATAGATAAAAATATATATCCTCTGGAATAATACTGAAATCATTTTTAGAAGAACTATTTTCAGTATCTCTAGTGATGTTTGCCAACAGTTTTAAAGAACACCTTACCTTGGTTTGTCGTTTGAACCTGGCTAAACATTATGAAGCTAAACTTCTTTCAAAGGTTATTGACAGCTGCTGCCAAAATGTAGAATTAGAACATTTCTGAAGTGGTATCACAATGGCAGACAGTGAACATTGATTTTGCATAATGTGATATTTATTCAATATACAATCATTTTGTCATAATATTGTAAAAAAGTAGATTCCACTGTTTCTAAA